CTTTTCATAAATATTTAAGTTAATAGTTGTCGCTAAAGCTAGAATCACGTGAATTTGACATGGTGGAAATGAATTGAATCAAGTTTAGCAGTTTCTTTAAATAGCAGTTGATTCTTAGCTGGTTAGCTCAATAGGTTAGAGCATGGTGTTAATAACACCAAGGTCAAGGGTTTAGATCCCTGTACCAACGTGTTGCCAAAAAATAAATAAGATAAATAGAAAATTATTATAAAGTAACATGTTTTGTAAAAAATTAGGTAGTAAATATGCTTTATGATTTTGTTTTTATTATGGTATATTTTGCTATATAGAATTTTAAAAAATCTTTCTGTTTAACAACAGCAGAGTACTGATACCTCTGTTCTCTCCTCTCTGAAGCAACTAAAAAAATTAGGAGAATGAGAAACAGAAAAGAAACTCAGTCTTTAATAACTACCATACCCTTGTAATCAGAATATATGAATTAGTGCTATTAGGTGCAGTGGAAATTGAACCAAAGCAAGAGAGGATGCCAAGAATGGATGATTCCCTCTATAGAATCAGGCAAAGTGAGGGGAGTAGCTTTCTCTCAGGTAGGTGACAACACCCTGAGGATGAAACCAATAACTCCCATGCTTGGAATGGCACAGATGGGTATGTATGTTGGATTCCCTGAGTGGCAGCAGAGTTGGGGCTGAATTACAAACTGTAAAGTTTGTGAGAAGTTCCATTTTTACACAGAGTTCAGAGTGGAGGAGAAACTGGCAGCAAGCAGCCTTACAACTGCTCATCTTGGTCAACTGAAGAGAAATAAAGCTTCAATTATCATCCCCCCAAAATCTCTGCCATGTGGATCCCTGTGAGTTAGAGAGACTAGTCCAGCATGGAGTCAAGCCTCTAGAGAAGAGTTTTTGTGGTAAATATTTTCAGAAACTGCAGAGCAGATGAAAATTATGAACAAATAATAATAGTTCCCTACAGTGGGAGGTGGAGTGGGAATGAGACTTAGTTCCTCCAAAGCAGGAGTTTTAAGATGAGATACAAAAGCTCAAGAAATAAATAAGACAACAAAAGGAGAGAAGAGTGAGCTGATAGAACCAGGCTACAAAATTAAAGAGAGAAGTATGGTCATTATAGAAATGAAGGTCACTTTCAAGGCAGCAGATACACACTATAGCTAAGTATAATGGAGGCAAGCTTGATATATTTCAGCAATCCAAAATGGAAAAAAAAAAAATATTATAGGCTCCAGAGAGAGTGACAGGGAGTACAGTAAATCTAGTATACAAATAACAGATACGCCTGAAGATGTAAACAGAATAAATGAAGCAGAAAAATTTTTTCACAATGTTAAGGAAGAGTTTCCTACAATAAAAGTTTTAAACTTCAAGAACAGTCTTTAAATATGAAGTCATGTGCAGCATAATGACCTTTCAGTCGAGGATGGACCACATATACGTGGTGGTCCCATTAGATTACAGGTGTGTAGTAGGTTATACCATCTAGGTTTGTGTAAGTGTACTATGATGTTCCCAGCGATGAACGACACATTTATCAGCATGTATCCTGTTGTTAAGCCATGTATGACTGTAAAGACTTTTATGGTTAAGTCAAAATGCAAAAAAATAATCAAGTCTCCTGTAAAATGAAGAGACTCGCCTCAGGCTTATCCAACATTAAGTTCTAGAAGACATAGAACAGTATATACAAAATCAGTAGACAACAAATGTATGACCCAAGAATTTTATGTTTTGGAAAGCTATAGTTTAAGTTTAATTTCAATTGATACATTTTCATGAAGAAGAATTGTGGCTTATAGTTTTCATATATCAGCCCTAGGGGGGGGATGGAAAAGAGAAGAGACTGTTGAATCCAGAGATGAATGGAAAACTAAGCTAAGGATTAGTGATTAGCACTGAATAAATTTAAATATAGTACTAAGGTTGAAATGTAAAATACAGCAATATAAAAATAACGTAAGGAAAAAAACTTGAGAGTTGGGGATGGGTACATAGTTACAAGTATGGAAATTTTGCTCATCATTCATAACATGGTTTCAATTGTGATAATACTGATAAGTTTACTAATTTTCTTTCTATGAAGTAAAGAGATGTTATTTATTTACCAGCTGGCTGGTAAGGGATCCGAACCCTTGTTATAACACTGTGCTCTAAACAACTGAGCTAACTGGCCAGCCCTAAGAAATGTTATCTAAAAGATGCAGACTATAAATCTTCCAAGAAAACAGATTATATAATGAAATATGTAATAAAAAGATAGGCAATCTTCTAAGTAATATAATAGTGTAATGGAAATGCTTTGCATATTGTTCAAGAACATAGAAAAAGAGAAGTATTTTCTAAATTATTTTTTGAAACATTATATTGATACCAAATCTGACAGAACACACAAAAAAGAGAAAACTCTAGACCATTTTCAAAATTTAAAAAATGCTAAATATTTTCAAATGTAATTTAGCAACACACTAAAAGGATAATACACGATATCTTTTTATTACATATTTCATTCCATAATGCAAACAGTAAGGTCAAAGAAGTAAGATGAAATATCTGTCATAAATAAATACAACGTTATAAATTGGATAAACTCAAAGCAAATGACGTTAAGACTGGAGCAAAAAGTCAAACCCACTAAGAGATGCATCTAAAAAGGGACCAGCAAATAATATTTTAGTGAATATTTTAGGCTTTGGGCCATACAGTCTCTGTTTCAACTACTCAGCCATACCATTATAGCTTGAAAGTAGCCATGGGCAGTATGTAAATGAATGAGCATGGCTGTGTTACAATAAAATTTTATTTACAAAAACAGGCAGTGGGCAAAATTTGTCCTGTAAGCCATAGCTTGCTGACCCATGATCTAAACCATAGTGCCTCAGAAAAGTTGAGAGCAAAAGGATGAATAAAGACTTAACTGGCAAATTCAAACTAAAATAGCAATAGTCCAAATATTTGTCAGACGAGGTTGAATTCAGTACAAAAATCATCAGTTGAGTTGCATTTTTTAATGATAAAGAGTGACATTGTAGAGGTCATGAATCTCATATACCAAATAATACAGCATTAAAGGTTATAAAGCAAAAAAATACAAAGAGAAGCAAACAGAAATCAGATTATAGAAGGGGATTTTGATTCAGCTCTTCTAGCCCTTGACAGAGCAAGCAGACAAAATAAGTAATGACATAGGGCCTTTCATAACAGCATATATGCTTAACAAACAACATACCTGGGAAACAATGAGTACTATTTTTCAAGAATACCTATTAGGCCCCAAACAAAATCTCAGCCAAATGTGAAAAGCAGAGATATATGCAGATTATGCTTCTTGTTCTTAACTGGAACTAAAACAAAGAGAAGTATAAGGCCCTACCATATGAAAAAATTAAATAACTCTTGGGCCAAAGGAGAAATTTAAAAATCAAATTCAAATGAATTAGAAAGTTACTGATAATCAGAATTCTGTGTATTAGTACCTATAAGATATGGCTAAAGCAGTACTCAGAGGAAAATTCATACATGTAAATAAACGACTAAACAAGAGAATGAAAATAGAAGAGTTCAGCTGTAGAAGTAGAAAAAAAATGAAAGCAGAAAGAAGGTATTAGCAAAGATAAAAGCCGACATTAATGAAATAGAACACATAAATGGAGGTTCTAATAAACATAAGAATTTGTTGTTAATGTTTTTTGTAGAGGTTGTTGGTAAAATATTGAACAGATAAACCAACTATACCTAATCATGTATAAAGGGAGAAAGCACAGATACCACATAGGTATATGCACACACACAGAATATGAGAAAGAATCACAGATATTTAGAAAATTAAATGTAAGAGGTCACTCTACTAAATTGTATGCGGGTAAATTTGAAAACCTGAGCCACTGCACAGAAGAGCACTATGAGGCCCAGGCAGCCTTCTAAGTAACATACTGTAACAGAAACACTTCTTACATTGTTCAAGAACATAGAAAAAGAAAAAAAAAAAAGAACATAGAAAAAGAGAAACATTTTCTAAATTATTTTTTGGTGTCATATTGATACCAAATCTGACAAAGCTCTTAAAAAGAAAACTCTAGACCATTCTCAAAATTTAAAAAAATATTAAGTATTCATAAGTGTAGTTCAGCAACACATTAAACGGATAATACATGATGAGCAAGTTGCTTTTCTTACATCCCAAGAATGTAAGAAGAGTTCAATATCAGGAAATACTAAACACCATATTTTAACAAGTGCAAAAGAGAAAAATGATCATATCCCTAGATGCTGAAAAAGACTTTGGTAAAATTAACCATCAATTCTGAGTGAAGAAACAAAAAACAAGTCTTAATAAAATAGGAATTATGACTTACCTGATTTTCTTTTTTTAACATAATAGGAAATATGGCTTATGGTAAAAGTCAGCATTATTCCTAACGTTGACTCAGGCATCTCTCATTTAAGTTTAGGAATAAGTGTCACCTTTATTACTTAACATTATTCCAGTAGTTCTAGCCAATTCAAATAAGGGGAAAATATGCATAAAAACTGGAAAAAAAGGGGAAATCATCAATCTTGACAGATGATATGATACAGGAAATACTAAACACCATATTTTAACAAGTGCAAAAGAGAAAAATGATCATATCCCTAGATGCTGAAAAAGACTTTGGTAAAATTAACCATCAATTCTGAGTGAAGAAACAAAAAACAAGTCTTAATAAAATAGGAATTATGACTTACCTGATTTTCTTTTTTTAACATAATAGGAAATATGGCTTATGGTAAAAGTCAGCATTATTCCTAACGTTGACTCAGGCATCTCTCATTTAAGTTTAGGAATAAGTGTCACCTTTATTACTTAACATTGTTCCAGTAGTTCTAGCCAATTCAAATAAGGGGAAAATATGCATAAAAACTGGAAAAAAAGGGGAAATCATCAATCTTGACAGATGATATGATCGGGTGAGCTAGCTTTGCTTATTTCTATTTGTTAACTAGGCCTTTTGATATTTTCATAGACAATCTGCTTCATCTTGATTCTGCAGCATTCCAAACTGGTATCCTTGGGGTTCCCTTAACATTGCTATGGTGCAGAAGATTTAAAATCAGGTATGGCTGTGGGGCTAGAAGTCCCTCAGTGAAATTCTCAACTTAAATCTGCTTTATTCTCTCTGATTTATCATTTGGGTTTCTTTTTTTGTGGTGGTCTTTTAGCTGATGTTCACAAGGAATAGAGTCACGTGATGTATGAAGGGAAACATATACACTTCTCTGAGGTTGACAATAAGCCCTTGTGCTCATATAGCCCCAAACTGTGCAAGCAGCGGCGACTCAACGGCTACGCCTTCTGTATCAGACACGTTCTGGAGGACAAGACTGCTCCCTTCAAGCAATGTGAATATGTGGCCAAATATAACAGCCAACGCTGCACCAACCCCATCCCTAAATCAGAGGATCGTAGGTAAGAGCTAATAACAGGAATCAATTCTTGATTTAATTAAGTAGGCTTGGAATTTTTCCTTTTCTTGTCCTCTTTTCCCTCCCTTCCTCCCTCTCTTCCTCCCTCCCTTCCTCCCTTCCGTCCTCCCTCCCTTCTTCCCTCCCTTCCTCCCTTCCTTCCTTCCTTTCTTCCTACTTTCCTTCTTCCTTGTGGTGATTTAAATGTTAAGTTCTAGGGGTAATATAATAAACTTTGTAATACTTCTAAAAATGAGAGATGGCAATGTTTTTTAAATTTGGGGAATTATATGAAAAATATGTATGAGTGTTTTCTTCTTTTTATTGATTTCATAGACTTCTAGAATTATTAAAAAATAACATTTTCCCCCTCAAAATTGCTGCTTGAAATCTTGGTACTAATTTGTTTGGTTTGCGGCCTTAAGTAGTTCTTGACTTCTCTACTTAGTTTTATCATCTTCCTAAATGAGGGAAGTTATAGGAACTAATTAGGTGTTGTAATTAATGATAATAATTAGGGGGTTTAAAAAATCTCTGCCTGAAAGGTAGTAAAGAATATGTACTTATTGAGAAAGAATGAAAACTATTACTTGAATCATTCAGAAGATTTACTTCATACCAGACTTCTAAGCAGTATTTGGCATTGTTTTATAATCTTACCGTTTTTGGTTAAGAAGAATTTCAAATGGAGTATGTTTGTATAATTTAGAAACTGTATTATTACATTAAGATTAGGCTTTTCACTAGAATTATGAATTTATGCTTCGCTGAATTTAAAAACAGTCCAACATGGAGTTGTTTTTAGAGGAATCTTATGTTGGTTATTTGTTTTTCATATCCGTAGTAAAATTCACATGATCCTTCACATATAATCTCTTCTAAATGTCTCTTGTTTTAATTTCTCAAGTAACCACATTGACCTTCGAACCTTTTACTTCTGTCTACACACACACACACACACACACACACACACACACACACACACACACACACACACATGCACACACACACACCTTCATCCATGTTCCTGTACATAAGTAAATGTCACCTGCTTAACCTGGTTGAAAAGGAATCATGTATTTTATATGTCACGGTGAGTACTTTTTACACTTTTAGTGTGAAATAAATTATTTGTATTTGTAGAGATCCCAACAAGATAAGTATATTATAATGTGGTGATTTGTGAATACTCTCTTAGAATTTCTAAAGAGCACTTAAGGCTTCAGATTACAATACCTGAAAGTTAGAAACAGATGCTTAGTGAGACAGGGAATAAAATTTTAATCTCAGGTGAGAAAGGGACCTAAGCATTAGGCTAAGCTATCTGTCTAGATGGATTTAGCATACTGAAAATGATAATTTCTTATCCCTGCCATTTTTAACCTGAAAAACGGTGGATGAACTTATATTAATTTTTTTACTTTAAGCTTCATTGTAAACACATCTCTATAATTTTGTTTTAAATTCAGTTTATCACAGTTGCAGTTGTTAGCCTTGGGTTTTTTTTTTCATTTTAGCTGGAGCAAGTATTATCTCAATAATTAATGGCAAGAATTGAAGTGAGAGTTCTGAATTTCTCCAAAATAATAGTTCTTGAAGCATCTGTCTTCACCTTTGTCATTGAAGAGTTTTCTCTTCTTAGAACAAGATATGAGAAAGGACTTATGTGTTTCTGTGTCAAGAGAAGCTATGTTTAATAAGTGATAAGTGATACATTTTTTCACATTTGGTCCATGACCATATGAATGCAAATGTTACCAATATTTTTGTTGTTTATAGGGTTGTTTGAAAATAGGTTAGAGTGGACATCAGAAGGAGGTAATATTCTTATGTTACCTCAAGAAATCTAAGTTGAACTCATGCAATAATATGTCTAAACCTATATATAAATGTTAGTAGTTATAACTATACTATATGAGATAATGTAGAAAAGATTAATATTCTTATGAAACTGAGCTTTCATTATTGTTCATGCAGTTACTTTTGAGCTCTGAGGGAGTTGAGGTGGTTTTAAATGTTGTTTTAGAAAACAAACTGCCAAGGAGTTTTCATTGACAAAGTTTTCTGTTTGGTGGTCAGCTAGAGAAATCTTCATAATTTTTGGTTTCTGACTTATCTGGTGTGTATTATAAGTGCTAACTTATATGTGTCTACCTTTTTGAAGTAGAGTAGTGTTATGCTCAGTAGAAGTACTGATAAAGTCAATTTTTTATATACTTGTACAGTGGGAAGCTAAGGCTCATTATGATAGCCTTGATTTCTCAAAGAAGTGGTTATATTAAATTGGTTATTTTATATAATATTTAAATTTAGGTTTGCTATTTTTTATATGTATCTATTTTTAATAATATAAATTTGCCAAGAAATTTTCTTGTTTCTTGTATATATTTTTAAAACAGCTTAATTAAGAAATGATTCACATACTACACAATTCATCCATTTAAGTATACTGTTCATGGGCTGGCTGGTTAGCTCAGTTGGTTAGAGTGTGGTGCTGCTAACACCAAAGTCCAGGGTTTGATCCCTGTACCGGCCGTCTGCCAAAATAATAAAAAATAAAGTGTACTGTTCAGTATATTTTTACTATTTCATAGGGTTGTGCACTTTTCATCAAAATCTAATTTTAGAACTTTTATCCTCCCAAAAGAAACCCTGTACCCATTAGCAGTCAGTTCCCTGTACAATAGTTCTATGGACTAGAAATTTGTATTTGTATACTTACTTTAAATGCTTTATATAACTAAGCTGATCTAGTTCTAGTTATGAAGAATTTTCCCTTTTAGAAGAAGCAGAGATTTTAAGAGTTCAGGCTATTTGTTGTGATAGTGCTGAGAGAAGGGCTAGAGTATGGAAGAGTTAAGGGAGGGCTGCATAGGCAGGTTAGCTTCCGCTGTCTACATAACCCAGCACATAGTAGCCTCCTTTACCTACTGGGACTGCCACGTGTAAATGAGCAGAGATGTTTGATTTCCAAATAACACCTCTCTCTACTAAAAAAGCTAATCCTGGGCCGGCCCGGTGGCGCACTGCTACAGTGTGCCGCTTGGGAGTGTGGCGGCGCTCCCGCCAAGGGTTCGGATCCCACATACAGACCGGTTCCCGCTCACTGGCTGAGCGAGGTGCGGGCGCACACCGAGGGTTGCGATCCCGTTGCCAGTCCCGGTCCGGTACGGGCGTGACACTGAGGGTTGCGATCCGTTGCCGGACACGAAAAAAGACAAAAAAAAGGAAAAAATAAATAAATAAATAAAAAAGCTAATCCTTTTGTTACTTTGAAAAATGAGGTCAAAACAACAACAAAAACCATTTACTCTTTACTAAATTTTTTTCTTGTTCTTGGGAAGCTTCTTGGTTAGTGCAGTTATCCCTAATACCCCTTTCCTTGAGGGCCAAGACTTTATGAAACTATTCTGTTTAAGGTACTGTGTATATGGGATCTAACTCAAATCTGCTAGGCATGCATGTGTGCAATCATGGTGTAGATTCTCTCTCTCTTTTTTTTTTTCCCCAACCAGTAAGTCCGCACCACGCTCAGCCAGTGAGCGAACCAGCCATCCCTGTGTAGGATCTGAACCCATGGCCTTGGTGTTATCAGCACCACACTCTCCCGAGTGAGCCACGGGCCGGCCCTCCTTTCCTAGTATTTTTAAAATAGCATTTACATTTCAAAAGTAATCTACTTTTGAAGACTAATAAGAATCTTCATGAGCTAACCCATGGCCTTGGTGTTATCAGCACCACACTCTCCCGAGTGAGCCATGGGCCGGCCCTCCTTTCCTAGTATTTTTAAAATAGCATTTACATTTCAAAAGTAATCTACTTTTGAAGACTAATAAGAATCTTCATGAGCTTTGATTTTATTTAATAAGTTCAAGTCTCAGCTCTGTCACTTTCCAGATGGAAAGTGGTTTATGGCAAGTAAATATCTGTAAAGCTTGGTTTCCTCACCTGTATAAAGGGCATTATTTTAGTACCTACTGCAGGTAGGTACTTTTACTTTCTCCTTCCATTCTATTCTCTTTCTCTCTTTCTCTGCCCCCCTATAGGCACATAAAGCACACAGTATAAACTTGACATTCTTGAGGGTTATGTCATAAGATCTTTGTGAATCTCCAAATACTTGAATGACATTGGAACATATGTTTTTCCTCCATAAGAGAATTTTAAGTGATCCTTCAGACTCTTGATGAGTTACTTTGTATGCTGTGAATAGAGGATAACAGAGCTGTGTGAGAAGCAGAGCTGAGCAGTTATCCAGGGCCACTCACTAGCCAAATGACTTGCTTCTGTCCAGCTACCTCTGCACATATACAGTTTACCTATTTGCCTCAGCAAAATTGCACAGACATTGAGGATTTCTTGAGAGTAGTGGAAGTTGCATATTAAATTTATCAATGCCAAGAGTTACTATAGTCATGCAATTTTTAACTTATTAGGATTCATGTTTTAGAATATGTGCTTGTAGTTTTTATTCTGCTTTCCTTAATGTGTATCATGAACATTTTCCCATGTTTATGTGTATTTTTTAAAGGTACTGCAACAGCCACTTGCAGGTACTTGGCTTTATCCCGAAAAAAGAGAGGAAGAAAAAGAATGATCCTATAGATGAGGTAAAGGTCAGGCACCAGATGGATACAATGGCCTTTAGCCTGACGGTGCCCACGTTGGCCTTGAAGATGCCCAATGGACTGGATGGAATGTCCCTCTCTCCACCTGGGGCAAGGGTCCCTCTGCACTACCTGGAAACTGAGTTGGAAGACCCATTTGCTTTCAACGAGGAAGACGACGACCTGAAGAAAGGGGCAACTGTGAGAAAGAAATTGCAGAGCAAGTTGGCCCAGAATCGGCAGCGCCAGAGAGAGACAGAGATTTTAAAAGTTCGACAAGAGCACTTTAGTCCCCTTCCAGCACCTTCACAGCAGCAGCCTCCGCAGCAGCACTCCCATCTGTCACCTTTATCCACTTCTTTAAAACCTCCAGCGCCACCGCAGGGTTCAGTCTGCAAGTCACCTCAACCTCAGAACACCAGCCTACCAATGCAGGGAGTGGCACCCACCACACACACTATAGCACAAGCAAGGCAGTTGTCTCATAAGAGGCCTCTGCCCCTCCTGCCATCCAGTAGGGCTCCCATCGTGGACCCACCCAGGACTGACCGGGTCCTTATGAAAGCCACAGCCTTCTCTCCACATTTCTCTTGTATAAGTCGACTGCAGAGACTGGTGAAACTGTGCACCCAAAAACATCAGCTGGACACTGATCTGTTTCCCCATTTAGGTGAGTTATCATCTGTTTTATCATATCTTAGATGTGTAGTATAACAAAATGTGTTCTGTTGTGTGGGGCTTTACTTTCATAACTACCACATATGTGATGGGGTAGAGGAACCTTTGGACAGAGCGGTGCAATGAAAGATTCTGTATTTAGGTAGATTACCTTAAAGTAAATATGCCACTGGAGGGGATAATACTTGGTGAATAGGATTCAGAAATAGGAGTTGGCAATTTAGAATTCCAGTCATAGCTTTTATTAGTAGTAGTAGCAAAATTAAAAGGCAGATGTGTTTGTTTGTGTACTTCTGTGAGTTTGGTGCCTGTGTGTCTGATGAAGTTCTTTATATGTGTTATTGTAGCGTGTTGGAATAATGACAGCATTGTTAATATCTGTTGACAGTTAAAAATTTATTTATTTAAATTCCTGGTGTAATACCAGTTCATGACTGAAAAGTGAGAACATACAGATAAAACTTTTGATTCGATGTAGTCTAATGTCTATTTTTCCTTTGTTGCTTCTGGATTTTCTGTTTTGCTTGAAAAAATCTCCCTGATCCCAAGTTTATACAGATATTCTATATTTTCTATTAATAGTTGATTCGTTTTGATCATTTAAACCTTTAATTCATTTGGAATTTATTCTTTTTTTTTTTC